ATTATAGATCAATGATGCTAACTACTAAAATCATCTTACTCCTCTTCTGATTGAAATTTGGTCTCAAATGGAAATTGGCCTGTAGAGAGAATTATTGACAAGTACACGTTATATTTTTATAACCAATCAATAAATTGGCGTTCTGGTCACACACTTTAGTGTCCATGAGTGTGCTTAAAATGGGTCTTTACCTGAGAGATCTTAAATCAAGTGTGAGTCTGCCAGGCTGAAGTCTGGCCCTGGATAGAGAGGAGCAGTCAATCACGGGTGGTGCACCCTGGTATCCATGTCAGGCTGACCAGCAGGCATTCCCCATGAGACGGCTGGCTTTAGGGTAACTCCTCTTTCCAGTCAGCAATTTGCATTAATCAATAATCAGGAGATATTTTGGAGGCACTCCACCAGTTATCCCTAGGGAGGAAATAATGATTTAAAAATGTGAGGTAGGAAATGGTTATTTCAAGGCTCAGAAGAAACTTTTTTCAAAACATTGGCTGATACTCCAAAGAACTGTCAGAATAGACTAGAAAATGTTGGAGAAATTGAACCCGCAACTTTTGAACCTTTCCTTTTATAAGTATAGTTGCTTTCACTATCAGTAGGAAGATGGGCTAACACAGCCAATGGAGTTCTTTTAATTAAACAAACAGACATTTTTATTTATTCTAACAAGCTGAAATAATGTATGAGATTTAAAAAAAAAAACATTTGGCAGTTCAGTCTTGTCTCTCTTTTTTGTGAAATTGAAAAGAAACAAAATAAGCACATTTGGATCTGGTGTAAAAGGGACTAAGGATATTTATCATAGACAGTTTAATATTAGTCTTCTGAGACCAAAGCTACTCTTTCCAAGTTCAGCAGAAATACACAAACAATTTGACAAATATTGAATTATGCTTCAAGGCAATTCTCATACTTTAATATAATCTGTTTTTTAAAAATGTATTTCCTTCTACTTTGAAATAAAGGTCCATCACCAAATACAATTTAAAAAATACAATGAATTGCTTTTCATCTCAGTTTAGGGAAGAGCCCTGCTTTTATACCCACCTTTAGCAATTTTTCTCCTGAATGAGAGGAAAGGAAGCTTGAATGTTTCCAGAGCAATGTAAAAACCAGGCTGCCTGTAAAGTGATGTGGTCATGTCAGATACATTGCACGTACTACTGTCAAGTTAAGACAATGTATTTAAAGACATTAAATTAAATTATGACAACTATTTTGGAAATTTGATTTTTCATTTTATGGAATTTTGTGTAAACTGGAGAATATTTAAACATTTGAAAACATTGATCCAGTTTTTCTACACCTTGCACACTAGGATCACCTGGTTGGGAGAGGGGTAGAGGGCAGGGAGGGTTGATTGTAAAAATACCGATGCGCGGTTCCCACCCCTGAGATCCTGGCTCCCCAGTTGATTATAATCTGTCACCAAAGTTAAGAACCACTGCCCTAAGATAATAATTGTAGTAATGTAACCATTTGAACAGAAGTCCAAAATGCATTTAGGTTTAGGTTAGGTTGCCAGATAAAATAGAGGATGCTTAGTTAAGTTTGAATTTCAGATAAACAATAAAAACATTTTTAGTATTTGGAATATTGCATTAGACCCTGTATTTTTATTTGCTAAATCTGGTACCCCTAAGTTTTCTTTGCTTAAAACCTCTTTGGAACAAAGCTGTTTATCTACCATTGGAGTTATTTAGAAAAGACTTCTCTGGGTCAGATGACAGCAACGACAAAACTGGGTAAATGCGTTAGATGTTCTCCTCTCCTGGGGTCCTAAATCAGCTCATCTCCTCTCTATACTTTCAGAGTGTTCCTTCTGTTGTGTCCTGCTTCTAATGATACCAGTTCTTTTTGGGTTCCCCAGACCCAATCCCAACATGGGTTGGGGGGAACCCCACACAAAACACTCAATTCTGACACTGTCTACCTGGAGACAGCATCAGATCCCAGAGGTTAAGGGTTTAGTTCTACAGGACTGTGTCCCACGTACGCCCCACGAATGCCAGTGGCAAGAAAGTCCCAGGCTGGTAACGTGCTTGTGACCCACCGGCTCCAGATTGGAGGTTCTGGCGACCTCCTCCTTAGGTCCTTTTAATTTGCTAGAATGGCTTGCAGAACTCAGGGAAACACCTAGTTTGCCAGTGTATTAAAAGATACAATAAAGGATATAAATCAGCAGCAAGATGAGGAGATGCATAGAGCAGAGTATATGGGGAAGGGGCACGGAGCTTCCATGCCTTCTCTTAGCTCCCTCTTTCCTCTCCCCAGACGCAAGCCCCTCCAGCTCTTAAAGGTAACCATAATAGTGACTTTTAAAATAATCACTTTTCTATTTTTCCACTTAGTTTCCCCACCCAAGTATGTATCCATAAACATTATAATTTGCTTATTTTTGAACTTTAAATGGAATCACGTAGCATAAAGATTTTATGTCTAGATTCTTTCCCTGAGTATTTGGTTGTTGTGACTCATTAGTGTTCATTCATGTAGCAGATTATTTACTTGAAAGTATCACAATTTATTTATTCTACTGTTAATGGACATTTGTTTCTTTCTATTTTAGGGCATAATGCTTCTGTGAACGTTCTGTTGTTTTTTTTTTAAGATTTATTTATTCATTTGAGAGAGAGAGAGAGATCACAAGCGGGAAGGGCAGAACGAGAGGGAGAGAGAATCTCAAGCAGACTCCATGCAAAGCGCAGAGCCGATGCAGGGCTCAATCCCACGAGCCTGATATGAGGACCTGAGACAAAACCAAGAGTTGGACACTTAACTGACTGCGCCACCCAGGTGCCCCTGAACATTCTTATACATTTCTCCAGGGACATGACTGCAAACATTTCTTCGTGATATATACCTGTGAGTGGCATTACTGCATCATAAGACTTGCATATGTACAACTTCATTTTGAAATAATTTTAAACTGTTAGAAAAGTTCTAAAAATGGGGCCCCTCCTGGCTGGATTCTCTCTCCCTCTCCCTTTGCCCCTCCCCACCCTCAAAAAAAAAAAAAAAAGAAAGGTTGTAAAAATGGTACAGAGAGTTCCCATATACCATTCACTAAGATTTTCCTAATTATAACATTTTACATAATCATAGTACTGTTATCAAAACCAGGAAATTAATATTTATATAATACTATACACTAACCACACACCCTATTTGAATTTTGCCAATTTTCCTCCTTTCAACACTTTTGTATCCTTATGTTTTAGATGTGCCCCTTGTAAAAAGCATATGGTTTGATTTTTTAAAATCCAATCTCACAATCTGTCTTTTAACTTGAGTATTTAATCCATTTACATTAAGTATAATTCCTAATAGATAAGGGGCTTATCTGTGTAAGTCATTATAAACTACCATTTTATTTTGTGCTTTGTGTTTATTTCTTCTGTTTCTTTTTCTCTACATTTGGTCTTCTTTTGAGTTGATTGGGTCATTTTTATCATTTCAGTTTCCCCCATTCCTTTTACCTAGAAATTACAATACAAATATTTAACTTACTGAAACCTAAAGTTAATCAATATATTTATCTACAAGGACCTACAACACTTTTAAGTCCATTTACTTCTTGCGCCCAAATAACATTTCATTATTTTAATAGATTTTAAATCTAAGTTGTTTTTCATTCCACTAAACACTATCATTTTTGTTTGAAACATGCAATACTTGTTCACATTTACTCATACCATTTAGTCCTTCCTCTGCCCTTTATTTCCTTTTGCCTATCGGACTCTTCCTTTCAAATCACTTTCCTTCAGTCCGGATTATATCTTCTGCAATTTCTTTTTTTGGGATTTTTCAGTGGTGGTAAACTCTCTCCATTTTTTGTTTAAAAATGTTTACTGGATGTAGGATTTTAGATTAGTGATTTTCTTTCAACATATTAAAGATATTTCACTATCTACTGGCTTTCATCATTTGCTGTCAATCTAACCAAAGATTTTTGAATATAGGGTCTTTTTTTTTTTCTTCTGGCTTTTTAAAAAATCTTAAGTTTTTGTTTTCTGCAGTGACACCTGGAGATTTATCTTGAGTGTTTTGGGTACTTCTGGAAAATTCGCAGCCATTATCTATGCCACATCTCTTTTTCTCTCTTTAGTTGGAACTGTTATTAGATGTGTGGTAGACTTTATTACTCTAAGCTCCATGTTACATAAGCTCTTGTTCATACTTAACACCTCTTTGTATCTCTGCATTCAGAATAATTTCTTCTTACCTGTCTTCAAATGCACTAATTCTTTTTTCAACTATTTCTTAATAGAAATTCTGTTAAATCTCCAGTTGAGTGTTTTATTTTAATTATTTTTTATTTCTACAAGTTCTGTTTCGTTCTCTTGCAAATGTGTTAGCTTCTATTTTATAGTTTTCTATTCTCTGAAGATGTTTTAAACTTGTTTTTCATTTTTAAAAACATAGTAAGCATAGTAATTGTATTATCTGTCCCTGAAAAAATCAAATAGCTAAATTCAACGTTTGTTTTTTGTTTCTGCAGTTTGTTGTTTCTGTTGGGTTTTGTTCTTGGTGATCTCCTTGTGGCACTCTGTTACTTTTGACTGTGAACTGCTTTTTGTTTTCCCTTGGAAAATTATTTTTAAGGATTCCTACAGGCTGAAAGTGAAGATATTTTTGTCTCTGCCTGGTACATAAGAATACTACCAGTTCAGAAACAGCTTAAATTCATGCCTTAAGGGTTTTGGAAGCACTTTGGTGATGTAACTATGGTATGCAGGCTCCTGAAGCATTCATCTGGTTAAAACTTCTCAAGGATGGTTTTCATTTCCCATCCCTGCTCTGCTTAGAGCTAAGAAAACCTTCCTTGCAGAAGTGGGGTAGGTTAACTTTTGGCTCATTCTTAGACTGAGGGAATATCCCTTGAGTATCTTGGCTTTATTCAGGAAGGGTTTCCTTTTAGATCTTCACCGTAAGTAAACACTGGGCTTTGATTTCCATTGTCCACACTCTGCAAGGCCACTAAAGCGAAAGTTTGCCTAGTTTAGCAAAGGCTCTTAGGGCAAAGCAACTGAAGTGCTCTGCTAACATCTCTGCTTTTTCCCCACTATTTAGATTTTGGCCTGGAAATTCCTTACTGTCTCAGCAGATCTGTGTTGCTTTTATGAACTGGTTTTTTGTGTATTCATTATTTTAAGTTGTTCTTCCCTCCAGGTGTGAGGGTTGGCCTGAATAATGTAGCCTGCCATATGATTGGAAAGGTAGGTCTTATTTTATAATTTAAAAAACTATATTCAACCTGTGTTTCTATCCCCTTCCTCATTTTAATGTATTAGAGTGTGTATCTGTGTGTGTGTGTGTGTGTTGGTGTGTGTGTGTGTGTTTTAATTAGAAATTTCCAGGGCATTTCTGTAGTACTTTTCCTCCAATGACACAACTCTTGGTCCACTTATACCTCTAATAGTTTTTATTTCACAGTTCTTTAATTTCTGTTTTTACTTTTATTTGCTTTCTTATGATTTTTTAAAAAAAAAATTCTTTCTAACTAAAAAAAGTTCTAACTTATTGAGTTGAATACTTCATTTACCTTTTTTTTTTTATGGCTTAAAATAGGAGGTTTATTCTCTCATAGATCTGGAAACAAGGAATCCAAAATCAAGGTGATGGTCGAGCCGTACTCCCTCTGAGGTCTCAGGGAGAATCTTTCCTTGTCTGAATACTTCATTTACCTTTAAGTTTTCTTTTTTAAGTAATGAAAATATTTAAATAATAAATGTGTTTCTGACTTCAACTTTGGATACATCCATTAGTTCTATTATTTCACATGTGCCTTTTCTTAAGGGTTGTAGTTTTGATTTCCTTTTTATCCTAAGAGTTATTTGGAATCATTTCCCTCCTCCATTTTCAAACGATTCCCTTTCCCCCCTCTTGTTTTTCATTTATTATTGATTTTTATTGTATTTTATTATTTTTAGAGAGTGTAGCCTGTTTAGTTTCAGATTTAAAAAAAATTACTGAGTTTTTGTGGCCTAATATATTTATCAATTTTAACATATATTTTACAGGCACTTGTCAAAAAAAGAATCATATGTAGGGTCTAATATTCAAGATATTCATAAACATAGATATTAATCTTTACAGTTGTAGTCATATGAGGGATTTTTTTCCCCTAGTTGGTTTGTCAGGCCATGAATTCAAATGACATAGGTACAAAATAAGCAGCTTTCTTAGGGGTTACGTGTTTAAGCCTATTTTCTTTTAAATTTGAAGATGTTTCCCTTTACATTACTTTAGAATGCTTAATATTTTCACTAACTAATGATACTTGAAAGAGTAAAGCACATGGTTAGTGTCTGTAAAAAGATTATTTTCTCTCCCTCTCAAATTTTTACTTCCTGTACCACTTTCAACATTGAACACATCAACTCCATGGTCTTTCTGTGCTTTGTCTCTCCAGTAAGCAACATCATGACTGTGTTTCTTCTTTATGCTTTGGACTGTCACTGTGTCAATTTTTTCCTAATTAACCACTTACACAGAAAAAAAATGAGCAAGAATATAATCTGTAAATAGTATTTCGACTTCAGAAAGTCTTTTTTTTACTTCTTTAAAAATCAGTATATTGATGATTTATTATTTTTTTTGTAAAATGGCTCCTCATAGAAATTTTGAAAACAGCACCTGCAATATAAAGAAGCAGAAAAGAAAGTTGCATATGATCCCATCACTCCAAGGCAACCACTGTTAACTGCTCTTGCTTGTTTCCTTCTATTTTTTCCAGAACTATTTTTACATAATTGAGATCAATGTTGTATTCTGAATTTTCCACTATGATATATATTTTCCATTATTAAAAACTATCCATCAGACTTGTTTAAATGTCCTGATAACATTTCATTATTTACTTAATGTTCCTTTAATGTTATAATTTTTAATATCTCTATATTAATAATGTTTCAATGGATTTCTTTTCTTCTTCTGTTTTTCTTAAGCGATACAGTTGGACTTGGATCTTTCGGCTGCATCGGAAGCACCTGAAGGGCCCCCATGCGCAGAGTTTCTGATTCAGTCTGGGATGGGGCCAAAGAATTTGCATTTATAACAACTTCAGGTGATGCAGATTGTCCAGGGATCACATTTTGAGTCACTGGAATAGCTGTAATGAACAGAATGCATACAGATTTGCTTCAATAAATTTCTGAAAAACAATGCTTCTTCCTTCCACAGTAAGTTCTATCTTTGATATTGCAGGGGGAAAAAATAGTAATACTTATCTTGGTTAGAAAAAGAAATAGTAATGTCTATTAAAAGGTTCTCTAAAATTCTTACTCACTGGCTTTTGCTACCACATTTGCACTTACTGTGGAATCTTACTTATTCATTTGACCCTGGAGCTACATCACTATACAGCTGGTCTCTTTTTTTCTTTCTTCTTCTTCTTCTTTTTTTTTGTAAGTCACCTGCTCTCATTTAGTTCATTTCCTTTGGTGTTTTCCTTCCTGTGGGAAGTCTGACATCTGTCCCACATACTTCTTTATGAATACAAAGGCTCATCTTTTATCTTTTTATTTTTAGCTTTTATGAGTCATTTATTCTTACCCTTTTTGTAATTATGATCTTTTCATTCCTTATGTTTTAAAAAGATACTCTAGACTGTAATCCTTTGTGGCCACTTTTTTTTTAATCTTATTTTTTTAAAACACCTTTAATTATTTTCTGTTTACATTTATGTTTAGGTCTGAGCCTAACGTCAAATACCATCAGTACGAGGCTTCTCACTTCATCGGCGCCATCATGTGGTGAAACTGTGTATCACATTGGAAAACCTGCCACATAGAGGAAGACAAGGTACCATTATAGTACGTTTTAGAGAGAGAGAGAGTCCTGAAATTGGGAGATTCATAAATAGTTGGGGGATCTGAAACAGTAGTCCTATTACTTTAGTTAATGCACAGCAAAATGAGAGCTAGTAAACACCAATGATGAATTATGTGGACACTGTAGTCAGTTACAAGAGCTCAAACCCAGGCTTTCCTACTCATTATGATACGACCTTGGGCACTTTGGTTAATCTCCTTGAGTCTCAGTTTCCTCATAAGTATGGGGATACCAGTAGGGTATCTATCTCACAGGAATGTTGAGAGGAAAAATTACTTTTATGATAATAGCACAATGGCCATCAAATAGCTCAATAATATCAGTTATGATCGACTGTTAAAAAACCATCACATTTGGTTTTTTCTTTATGTTCAAATCTAAAATACAATGAGTATCAGAAAAGAAGACTTCCCCTGAGATTTTAGAAAATTATGCCAAAATGGTATAACATTATACCAAATGGTATAATTATCTTTAGAATGACCAGAAGTAGCTTGAAGTTAAGAACTGCAAAAGGTAGTTACTGAAAGAACATTCAAATAATAGTGCCTTTTTAGAGAAAAGGAAGGAAACTTCTGGTAAGAAAGGTCTTCTAAACTATTCTTACAAAGTGAAATTTGAAAATTATCTGGTTAAATTAACCATAATTGACAGTCAAAATAAATAATTTGGGGGGTAACCTAAAATTCTTTTCAAGGGTGGAAAAAACCTTTTAATATTAAACATGATTTATAGTCCCAAATCCTTCTGAAGGTCTATTAAAGAGAAATGTATACTTTTATAAATTCTTGAAAGAGATACATTTGGATGGCTCCAGATGCTGGGAATTTTTCTATTAGAAAATGAATTTTAATTATTTCCAGAAAAATAGGATGAAAGATATCTAAGATCAGTGAGAATAAAGCATGTGGGGGATTCCCCCCCTCCTTTTCAAACCATTCACATCCTTAGATAGAATGGATAGTCTTGCCAGGACCAGTCTTACATTCAGTTTCCAAAGTGTACTTTCCCCAGAGAGTTAGCATTGTTCAATGAATTTTGTTATGCCATTATGCAAATGTAGTCTATGTTCATTATCTTTCACTTATTAAATTCATCAAGAGCTGTTCTGGAACAGATTTTCTGTTTTGTCAACTACACCCACAGTCTTGTTCCCAGACTTTTCATCAGTATTTTCAGGCTGTGAGGGAAAGAAAGCAAGGAATGGGAATGATCTCATGAATTTTAAATATGCTGAAACTCTGTCCCAGAGCAAGATTCAAGTACATAACAGCCGTCTACAGTTGCTCGCAGTATACCCCAATCTCAGGGCAGTGCCAGCTTAGCGCAGTTGGTTAGAATGTGATCAATTGATCAATCAATCAATTCCTATGTGATTCAACTGGCTGTGGAGAGAAGAAACATATCTTCGGTATCAACCTGAACTTCTTTGGCCAGCAGTTTAGAAAATCTATGCCTTTGATTACTGAGATTTGGGGATTTTCCAGAAACTTATTATTGACGTCTATTTTAATTTTATTGTGGTCAGAAAACATATTTTGCATGATTTCAATCCTTACAAATCAGTCGAGCCTGTTTTATAGCCCAGAATATGGTCTTTCTTGGTATATGTTCTGTGTGCACAAATAGGGGAGAGAGAGAGATCCATCCAGACACATATTCATTTATTTAGGTGTTTCATTTCAGCAATGTTTCAGAGTAGTACAGTTCTTGCATGTCTTTCATTAAATTTATTCCTAGGTATTTATAATGCTATTTTAAATGTTACATTTAAAAATTTATTTTCTAATTGCTGCTCGCTAATATATAGAAATACTGATTTCTGTATTACTGATCTTTTATCCTGAGCTCACTAATTTCAATTATTCATTCTAGTAGATTTCAAAGATTTTCTAAATGGGCAGTTATTAATCTAAAGACAAGTAATTATAGTTTTTAAAAATAACTTTCTATGTAGACACCTGTGAATAGACAGTTTTATTCTTCCTTTCTAATCTTTACACCTTGTATAATTTTATTTTTGCCTACTGCAGTATCTAAGACCTCTGAGACGAAGCTGAATAGAAGTGGTGAGAGCAGACATTTTCAGCTTTTTCCTAATCCTAGGATTGAATATTTCACCATCAAGCATGATAGGAGCTATTGGTCTTTCATAGATACTCTTTATAAAATGAAGTCAGTTCTCTTTTATTTCTAGTTTTGTGAATGTTTTCCACATAAGCTGGCAATAAATTGTGTCAAAGGCTTTTTCTAAGTTTATTGAAATGATCATAACATTTTTTTCTCTTTTATTAATATGGTAAGCTACATTGTTTAACTTACTAAAATGTTGAGCAAACCTTGCATTCTAGGAAAAATCCCAGTTGGCCATTGTATTTTATCCTTTATTGCTAGGGTCAGTCTGCTAGTATTTTACATAGTATTTTTGCATTTGTATTCATGAGTGATTATTGGTCTGTGATCTTTTTCTTCTAATGTCTTTGTCAGATATTTCTATGATGGTTATGTTGTTATTATAAAATTAGTGGGATAGTAGTCTCTCCTCCTCTGTTTTCTCCAAGATTTTATATAAGATTGACAGTATGTCTTCTTTAAATGTTGATAAAATTAAGCAGTGAAAGCATCGGGGCCTGAGGTTTTCTTTGCAAAGCGTTCTTTAATTATGAATTCAAGTTCTGTAATAGATGTACAACTACTAAGATTTTCTACTTCTTCTTTAGTCAGTTTTGGTTAAGTTTTGTTTTCCAAAGAATTTATTCATTTCTTCTAAGTTATCAAATTTTATTAAATTTGTAATAGTCTCCTTCTGTGGTTTTAATTAGAATTTTTCAGCTTCAGTACTATTGATATTTGGGGCCAGAAAATTGCCATGGGGCACTCTCCTGTGCGAAGCAGTGTCCCTGGCTTCTACACACTAGACGCTGGTAGCAGTCTCCCCAGGTGCGATGACCAAAAATGTCTCTAGACATTGTCAAATGTTCCTTGGGGACAAAACCCCTCCAGTTGAGAACCAGTGTTTTAATGTCTGTAAGATCTTTAGTGATCTTTCATTCCAGACACTGGTAATTTGTCTCTATTTTTAAATGAGCTCTGTTAAGAGATTTGTAGGGTGTACAAAAGTAGGCTCTGCCCCACATTTGGCCCATGGATCATTTTGCTGACCTTGACTTAGATCATTAATTAACTATTCTTTTTTAATAAAGGAATAAAAGAGCTATACATATTTCCTCTAAGAATACTGTATCTGTATCCCATAAATTTTGAAGGCTGTGTTGTGTTGATGAATATTAGCCAAATAATGGCAATGGAGAGTTATTATCTATGGAGAGAACATATGAGCATTATTGTTAGTCCAACATAACTGCTTACAAATGGACTTTGGGTTCTGTGAGAGACAATGAATATTAATATAACTACATAATAAAATTTAGTTACATAAGTACATTCTCCCAAGTCGTTGACACACCGATATAAATTCCCACAATCTGGTAACAATAGTCTTTTTGCTCTTCTAGCTAAGAATAGCCACAGTCTGCAAAATTCAGAACGTTTATCAGGACAAGGAAATTATAACAATTTTACTGCACCTTATCGAATATTGATTTGCTGCCACCTGCTGGGAGGCAGAAATGAGTTTCCAGTGTCCTTAAAGGGAAAGAGTGATGACCCTAGAAGTTGTAAAACTTTGCCTATCCCATAAAATGAAACATAGTATAGGTACCCTTGCGCCTGAAAGAAATCAATAATTTTATTTTTATTTTTTCAGAAATCAATAATTTTAGAATAAATTAACTGCAGGTGAAGAAAATATGGTCTGTGTATAAAATTTGGAGTGCATTCTTTTTCATCTAAGAGAAATTAGATGGGATATTTGCATTTACCATGAAATGATGTACAATAAAGTCCCTTAAAATGGTGAGCTTATCAAGTACTGATTGTGTATTTGTGTAAAGGTAATTAACCTCTTGACTGGGGCTAATGGAGAAATTTAAGAGCTAAGGATCCACTACTGAATGAAGATTAGTAAAAAAATAATATTAAATCTAATAACGATGCTTGTGATGGTCATAATAATAGCCCCCACAAGGATAGCCATGCTGTGATTCCCAGTGCCCAGAGTGGACCCGTGAGCCCAGAGAGCAGAACCAAGAACCACAGATTCTTCCTTGGCCTTGAAACTAATAGAGCCTGCCTGATTGGATTTTGAAATTATCTGGGACTGGTGACTACTTTTTTCCTTCCACCTCTCCCTTTTTGAATGCGAATGGCTACAATTACTCTCCTGTGCCTCCCCTTCCCTTGCATTTTGGGAGCACACATCTCGTTTTCTCATTTCCCAGTCTATAAATGGAAAGGGATTTTGCCCCAGGATGGATTGTACTCAGAGCCTTACCTATAAATAATTTACATGAGGTTTGGGAATTTTGAAATTTAGATGAAATGCTGTGATATGTTGAGAACTGGGGGGATTGAGGGAGGGGGGTGAGATTTTGCATGTGAACAGACATGAATCTTTGGTGCTCAGGAGGATGGACTGTGGTTAAGAAGAATGCCTCTCCCATAGATGTTCACACCCTAATTGCCAGAATCTGTGAATGTTATCCTATAAGGATAAAGGGATTTTGCAGATGTGATTAAGGTTAAGAACCTTGATGTGGACAGATTATCCTGGATTATCTGGGTTTGCCCAATTTAATCACAGGAAGCCTTAACAGCAGAGAATCTTTGACCAATGTGAATGGCTCTGAAGATAGAAAGGGGCCACAAGCTAAAGAATGTAAGTGGCCTCTAGAAGCAGGAAAGGCAAAGCAACAGAGCCTTCCCTAGAGAGAATTCTGTCCAGAAAGGAATGCAGTCAGCTGATATCTTGATTTTACCCCAGTGCGACCTGTGTTGGACTTCAGACTTACAGAATATTAAGATAATAAATCTGCGTTCTTTTAAACCACTAAGTTTGTGGAATAGAAAACGAATACAAAAACAGCTAGCAGTTCCTATGTTCTACATATACTAGCACTACAGCAAGGGCTTCCCAGATGATAATTCTATTTAAAAAGGAGCTAAAACACCTCTGAAAGCATATTATATAATCTGGCCTTGGCTACCTCTCTGACCTCATCGACTACGACTCTCCCTTTCTAATTATCATTCATTCACTCTGGTCTCCTTGCTATTCTTGAAACATGCCAAGCACGCTGTCCGCTTCTCAGTTCGCACTTCACTTAGATATCCACAACCCACTCCTTCCCTTCCTTCAGATCTCTGCTCAACTGTCACCTTCTCAGTGAGGTGTTCTTTGTTCACTCTATATAAAGTAGTATTTGCCCAACCTTTCCTGGTGTCCCCTAATCTCTAAATCCTAGTTTATTATTCTACATAGCACTTATCATTTGATGGATATTTGCTTGTACTCTGTGTTCTCTCTTGTTCCCCAAATGTAAACTGTGTGTGGGCAGGAACTTTATCTGTACATTACTGATGGCAGCTTTATCTCTAGAACCTAGTACAGTGCCTGGGCACACAGCAGTAAGGAAATATTTGTAGGAATAAACGAACATTTTAAAAACTATTAACAGATGACAAGAATTCATTAATATTGTTAAAATTCTAATGCAACATACACAGCATAGAGCAGGGGTCATTGGATGATGTACCTGAACATTACTCAGTGAATAGGCCTCAGTGTAGATTCAATATCATGCCTTTAAGAATGAGGTAATTTCTCAGTTTCCTACAGTTCTTAGACATGGCACACCATTTCTCAAGGTCAGATTATAAGAAAACTAGTATGTAAATGAACTTTGTATTTTCCTATAAATAAGCATTACCAGTGTATTTTAAGGTAATTGCTAGTTAGGGGGAAAAAAAGGAAAACTAGTAGCTGCTAGCTATAATTTCTTCCCCAACTTTTAATTTTTAAAAATTTCAAACCTATAGAAGAGTTGAAAGAACATTCATATGCTCTTCACCTAGAACCATAATTAACACAGGGGCTGTTTTCTCTTTACATACATACTTTTTTTTTGGCCTGAACTATTTGAAAGAAGTTCCCAGACAGATATCATGATCTCTCCCCTACTTGAACATGCACCTCCTAAGAACAAAAGCATTCTTGTAATAAACACAATTTATCATACCTGAGAAATTTAAGTCAACAATGTATCTAATTTTGCTTCCATGTTCAAATTTCCAATTGTCCACAGAATTCTTCTAAAACTTAAAAAATCCACGATCCTATCCAGTTCAGTTGCCCTAACTGCAAACTGGTCCTTTTTTTATTTCTTCTGTGCCTTGACCTTACACTGAAAAGTCCAAATAAATCACATTGTGAATTTATCCGAGTGTTCCTCACAGATTCAGGCTAAATGTTTTTGGCAAGAATGCTACATGGATGTACTTGAAACAACCTCACAGCAACAGGCATGTGTTTTCCCAGTACTGATGCTGGAAATTTTTTCCATGAAACATCTATTAACGTTTTGCAATGGACTAACGTTCCATAGAACAGTTTAGGAAACACCTGGATTAAAAAAAAAAAAAAAGTGAAATGAACTAAAGTGTTTAACAGTTTGTAGAATAAAAACCAGGTAAGGATTAAAAATCATTTTTAAATTAACAAATTTTCCTCATTTCCTTAGGTAATGCAAACAGAGCTTTCATAAAATTTAATACCAAAAAATAAAAAACAAAACACAAACCATTGTACAAATGAGTAACTCCAAACTTAAAGAAATGAAGTAACTTCTACCAAGTTTTTATCCTTATTGTATTTACTGTGTTCGGGAGCTGAGACTTGAAACCAGATCTGCTTCCATGTTTTCCACTAGGCCCTTTACTTCACTTAAGACTTATGTTTAGTTTTCCGTAATTGACTATACTTGGGTCAATTACAACTGGGGTAAAAGTGGTGGTCTTTTAGTCTGAATACTAATGAAGACAGTAATGAAAACCAACAGTTCATTATTTTTTATCGTTCTATGTCCAACAAGAACGAACCCATACCAAGTACTTGAGTAAGTCCTAACCCCTCACAAATGCATTCAAGTATGCATATCATGGCGGGATGGGGTGGGGTTGGCATATCAGATTGTGGTCTTGGCTCCGGATATTAATTATAATATAGACCCCAGTTAGGACCATTTCTATTTGTCATAATTTGATGCTTGCTATTTAATGCCTATTGGTGCTGTCTTTATTACATCACAGCATACATTTGGGAGTCTTCAGTTTTCCCTAAAAATCCTAGAACTCAGGTAAAACTTAGGTTTTACTACTTATTATATAATCCAACAGGTTTTCAAAAAATTAATCATCATTATCATTCCAGCCCCGCAGTGAGGTACCAAATATTAAGCATGTTCGTTTTCATCTCCATTTCAACCGGGAGCCTTTCCCCCTCGATGAGTTTCCGAGGGCAGTCGCGGGTCCTTACTTTTGGTACAAGTAATGTTAATACGAATGGTAACTTTTAAGAGAAAAAAAAACTATGCCATGGCTTAAACACTTGAGGTCTATTTCGATTGAGCATTTATTCCAGTAGGCTGGAAACGGCTTTCCGGAGTTTTGGGGTCTTCCTGCTGTTACCGTTTGTCAAACATCCCACGTCTCGCCCTCTACCCCACACTCGAAGCTTCTGGGATTGGAAAAAAGGGGTCTGCGATTGCGGCCCGCCGATGCCGCGGGGC